CCACATGGTGTGGCAGACCTCTCCTGACCCGCCCGCTGCTCCCCTCAGCAGTGTACTTCGTCAATTTGCCTGTTCTGCTCCCCACTCTGTCTATGGTAAAACCTCTCACCGCCCCTGAGCCTCTGGACTGTACCCCAGTTCTGTATGCACAAATAAATGAATCTTAAAAAAAAAATAGATGGAAGATCTGAACTTCTCAGATCCACTGTTTTCAGGATAAAAGGGCTAAGAAATATTAATGAAGCAGGGGCAGTGTAAAGAAAGAATGGGTGGCAATTTTTACTCTTCACTTTTAAAATCTTATTCACCGATAAATTGCTCTTACACTGTGACTGGAAATCACATTACAAGACACATTTAATGTGACTCTCATGTGCTGTTTCTTGTGATGATCAATGATTAAATGGTGGTTACTGTTTAATTTAAAAAATAAAGAAATGGGAATAATGCATGGAGAGTATGGATTAACTTATACATCAATTTGTAGTTTGAGGGGGCTGACATGCAGAGTTTGGCAAAGAGAAGACTTGAGGGAGATGGCCTTCAAGCAAGTGAAAAGCAGAAGTTCCATGGAAGTAGGCATTCAGGGTGGCAAACAAGCACTGAACATGTTCTAGGTACTGGTGATTCAAAGTTAATAAAATGCTCTTTGTTTCATGGTCTGGTCTCAGAAGCAAACATGTATACAAATAATTACAAAATGGTGGAAGACTTGCAGAAATAGGAGTGTGTACAGGGCATAGGTGTATAGATGACAGAGTGATAAACTCCATCAGGTAGAATCGCTGTAACAAAACATAAAAAGCTACAAATCAATTTACATTGGTGAAGTGAAGCCAAAAATGCAAAGGTAAATCATTTCTAGGAGAGAAAACTAAGACTTAATTCACCTTAAGTCAAGTATGCACATAAATCCTTTATTTGTCAGGATACAGTTTAAAAATTATTTGTTAGGATAATCAACCTCCACAAAATTTATACATACATCCATCAACATCCTTATTTTTGAACCCAAACAACTACAAAACTCTAATTAGAACAGAACCATTTTGTCTGAGCACTGTATTTGAATTCACAAAAAAGCAAATAATAATGGATGAAAAGAATAAATTTCAGTCAGTTTATTCCTTCAGGGACTTATTCACCAATATTGCATTGTTTTAAATACCATTATACATTAATTTTTTTCTCTTAATTTCACTTTTGGAGTATTCATTGCTAGTGTACAGCAATACAATTGATTTTTGTACATTGATCTTTTATCCTTATCATTGTTGTACTTGTTTACTAAGTTGTTAACAGTTGTTTTTCTTGGTGGGGTACATTGCTTAGGCTTTTCCATATACAAACTTATATAATGTAAGAATAGTTTTACTTTTCCTTTCCAACATAGATGCTTTTAATTTCTTTTCCTTCCCAGACTTCCAGTAGTATATACTTATATATACACTTATATTCAACATTGAGTAAACATCTTCACTAGTTCCTGATCTTGGGGTAACATTTAGTTTGTCATCAATAAATATAAGTTTGGGAATTTTGTAGACAGTTTTTTTACAGACTAAGGAATTTTTCTTTTAATTCTGGTTTACTGCTTTTTTTAAATAATGAAAGTTTGCTTGACTTTGTTAAATGTTTTTTCTGACATTTCTCTGTTTTTGAGTTTAAAAATTACATTACTATATTGGATGGCTTCACTTATATGTAGAATGTAGAAAAACAAAACAAAAGGTCAAAGGCAAACCTTGCAGGTGTCTGTACACATGAGGCATCCATGAGGGTGAACACAGAGAAGAGGTAAGAGCACAAAGGAATATGGTGATGGCCAATGAGTACTTTGGTGGTGGGAGAAGTACAGTGACCTGAGGGGAGAAGTCATATATTGTCCAAAATTAAATTAAAACAATTTAAAAAATTGCATTGTGGGCCCTCCCTGGTAGCGCAGCGGGTTAAAGCACTGCACTGAGAAGCTAAAGCCACTTCAGCATGAGTTCAATTCCCGCCTGCCCCACATGGCGTGGCAGACCTCTCCTGACCCGCCCGCTGCTCCCCTCAGCAGTGTACTTCGTCGATCTGCCTGTTCTGCTCCCCGCTCTGTCTCTGGTGAATCCTCTCACCCTCTGCATCTCTGGCCTATACCCCAGCTCTATATGAATAAATAAATAAATCTTTAAAAAAAATTGCATTGCTTCAGTTTGAGTTTTCCAAAAGGCAGACCATATACCTAATTAGCTTGTGGATTAGGCTGAAGTAGATGGGAAGCATTGACAGAATACTAGTAGTGTGCCTACTGGCTATATTCAACAAGGTATTATAGGAAACAAAGAGCTCAAGAAAGAACTTGATGATTTATAAATGGAATTGAAAAATGCAACTATTTTTCATTTCTAACAGCAAATGACAACATTGAGAAATACTTGGAGAACTGAAGTTGACTTGTTTTTTAAAAACCTCATATTTAAGACCTAATCAAGATCAAAGCCATCATTCCTTCATTTGAAGTCTCTGAAATGACTTGGTGGCGCCCCTATGATGCTTTCAGATGGACAAAATCACAGGAAAGCGGTGAAGACTGAATCCCAACATGGCTAAACTTCTGCTGGGAAGTCATACACATCACTCCAACCACATTCCACTAGCAAAGGAAAGTCTAACATTAAAAGGACAGTTATCCATGCAGACAGGTATTGAAAATCAAATAAAAATGAACTGTATGTATATCATTCACAGGGAAGGGTCGCAAAAAATAAAGACGAGTAATAATATCTGCCACAGTCTGTTCTTTAGGTGATGAATATTTTCTCCTTCTACTTTATATGCAGAATATTTCACTTTGTTTCTAAGAAGAAACCTCCAAAACTCAGTCATATTTCAAACTTAACTGAAGGTCAGGTGGCTCCTCTTAAGCTAAACACCTATGAACTAAAATGCCAAGTTACTTATCTCCTACATGCCTAACCTACAGTGGCAAAAAATGCATATAATGTCAATGAAAACTCCCATTCTGAAATGGAAAGGATGGACATCACACATCAGTCATGGAGTCATAGCAATTCTACAACCTTTGTGGGATGATATGGTAAAGCCCAAGGGATAGGGAGTGTTTGTTGGGTTCTGCTCTCTGGGCTAGAGAACTGTACTGTTTCCTGTGGCATTGGAGGTCCCTCCCCATCTCCCACATCTATTATCCTCTTTGGTCTTATCTGAACAGGGCATTGGAAACTATGTTCTTCATTGTGGCTCTGCCTGCTTTCTATAGAAGGCTGGGTGTTTCAAGGTCATTTTTGTTCCAAATAGTCATATTAAAAATAAAACGAGGTAGGATGATGGCTCTTTGGCAAGGGATGCAACCTTAACAATGTCATATCTGCCAACCCTGAACCACAGAGTGTTTCTCCACTTAGGTTTTTAATTTCTTCCAAAATGTTTTGTTGACATTATATTTCTTTCAAAAACATAGTTGGCTTTGTATCTGTCTGTTCCTGATTAACTCTATGAGTCCATAATCATTTGCTCAATTCTTTTTGAGACATGACTCCCTTTAGACTTGACTCAGGTATCTTGAAGGCTCTATGTTTTGTGGCAGAGCCAATTATTAGCACCTCATGGGCAACAGCAGAGGCTATGAATGACTGTTATGTTTCAAGCATAGTAAAAACAGGGCCTTATTGCATAAATAAAAACATTCCAAAACATGGGACAATTGAATCTATTTTCAAAAATGGGAACTATTCTCTTTACTGCAGTAGGTTTTGAACCAGGGGTGATTTTTTCCACAGAGGACATTTCACAGTACCTGGAGAAAGTTTAGTTGTCACAACTGGGAGAGGTACCTGGCATCTAAAGGGTCCCAAACTGCACAGGACAGCCCCCTTTCTGCTCTTCCAGTCCAAAATGTTAGTGGCACTAAGAAACCCCATTGACAGGGAAGTCCCATTAATATTCTGAGTAAAAACAGTAAGATATTTCTGTGCTTACCCCACCAACCAGATGCATGTTCCTTAATATCCTATACCCCCAGGAGCAAAGAAGTAGAGTCAGACACTGTAAAAACCCACTAGTTTTTGACATTTGAAGAAATTACAATTTTTTAATCTATTGACAAACTTCCATCTTATTTAAGATTTGTTACATAATAATTCATCTTTTCATCCTTTCTGTTATCTAGCAAAACTTCTCTATCATGTTACAAAATCATTCTCAACTGACATGCATTTTATTTCTACTTTTTAATTCTCAGTATCTACCTTTTTATTAGGTACTTTCAGAAGGAAAAGCAGGGTGATTAGGAGGGCCTGTTTTGTTTTATAATAATGTCTGATTTTTCATTATTATTATCTAATGCCTCCAAAAATGTTCCCATTGTCATTAAGTGTATGTGAAGAAAATGTGTCAGGTTTCACACTATATAGGGGATAGGACGTAGGGTAGGTGAGGGCTGTGGATTTCATACTCAGGACCTCAGCCCTCAAGCATGAGAGGCACTTTAATTAAAATGTGCAGAACACTTCAACAGAGACTAGGCCCCACAGGAGACAGACACAGCAAAAGTAAAATGAAAGAAGCAAAAAATACCTACCTGGTCCAGTCAGGCAAACCTTTCCTCAGAGAGCAAGGCAGGTCCCACCCTCTAAGGATCTAGATTCTAGAAGAAGGAATGAAAATGTCAGTTCAGTCCTAGTTTTAGCTGTCCCAACAGCTTACAATGCCCAGGCAGGTCCTCAAATGAGTTATTCTTTCAGACAAAAATAGAGAAATAAAACAACTGTGATTTTTGCATATGGCATTTGCTTTCTTGGGAAGTTCCAAATATCTCTACTACTTTCCTTCAAGAAGGATCATTCATGGGCCCTCCCTGGCAGCGCAATGGGTTAGAGCACAGCACTGCAAGCTAGCTGCAGCTGCTTCAGTGTGAGTTTGATTCCCAGCCCTGGAAGTGATCCATATGGTGCAGCACACCTCTACTGACCCACCCGCTGCTCCCCTCAGCAGTGTACTTTGTCAACCTGCCTGTTCTGCTCCCCCACTTCTTTCATCGCCTCCTCCTCACCTCTGGCCTGTACCCCAGTTCTGTATGCATAAATAAATCTTGAAAGAAAAAAAAAAAAAGGACCATTCTGCCCTCTAACAGAATTCCTGACTAGACAGATTCATTTTGTTAGGTAGATGGTATGTTAGCATTTTGCTTTTCTTCATTTCATACCATTTTCCATTTTTTCCCTTTGTATCATGGTTGAAAATGTATATGATGCTTATCTCTTACCCAGGTTTTTCTTTTTTTTTACATGTGACATCTGTGCATTAATCACTATTTAGCCAACCTGCAGAGACCTGATTTTTGAATAGGAAGCCAGCACGCTGCTGTAGAAAGCATGCCAGCCTGCAGGCTATACGCCTGGATGCCAGCCTGGCATTTCCCACAGTCTGGTTGAATGTCTTAGGACAAGCTGTTGTAGTACAATCAGGGATGTCCCAAAAGATCTCTGAGGTGTCACTTTCATCTCATATATTCTCTGTATGTCTAATCTTCTTTTATATACATAGAACAGCAGCACAGCAACTAAATATTTTCTTTTCTTATTTGGCAACCATCTGTTAAGAACAATGTGTGTGTGTGAGAGGGAGAGAGAGAGATGGAGGTAGGGGAGTTGGGGGAGATGAGAGTAGAGAATGGGGAGAGAATGAACTAGTTAACCTTGGTAGACAGTAATAAGGTGTAATAATCGATAAATATAAGTTATGTTGGGGAAGATATGCAGGTATTTAAATACCTCTGTTAGAGGAAATATATAAGCATTCATCATGGTCACAAAATAGCATTCTCAGAAATGTCACTCTCTTCTTCCCCCAGGACAGATAAAGCACCAACAGAAGCTGACCAGCCACTGAAACAGCTATGCAAACCCTCCTGCTTTTATAAAGCAGGGCAAGGCTTTGAAGCTTCAGCTTTAAATTGCTCCGCATTTCCCAGCTGTAATGAGGACAGCATTTCCCTAGTCAAAACATCCTGCTTCTATTTATAGGCATTCACTTATCTGAATAATAAACAGAAGTAGCAGACTATTTTTATAATATTTTCCTTCAAGTACCCTATTTAATACAATGTTAACAATTAAAATAAAGTCCAGAACCAAAATATACAACAGTGGGTTTAGTTAATTACCTTAAAGAAGACACTGACCAATGTATATTTGAACAGTCAGTCTTACAAGAATAATTTGATGGGCCTTTGTGTACCTGGGGTGGTCAGTATCTCCCTTGCTATTTCATGGGGAAGAAAAGGTTTCAGTTCTTTAACTGATTCCAGAAATATCCAGTCTCCCAGTTGAAGGGAAGCTGTATTCATCTGCCAGGTAACCTCCCTTAGCTGATGTTGCTTTAAATAAGGATGGCAGACAAAACAGCATCCGCAGAGACAGTCACAATTCACTTCTATTCTTTTTCCAGTGCAAGTTTGCATTAGGCTATTTAATAGGCCACAATATATTCAGTAAGTGCAGGATCCATACCCCCAAAAGGCTGGTGCTTAATTCTATCCCTCCAGTCTGTTTTAACTAAGACGTTTTCTCCTGTGCATATAATCTTCATTATCATCGAAGTTATTTTTAATTTATAATTAACATAGTCTTCTTCTCATTATGGATGCCTGATAGACTTAGACCCTCCAGACACATCTTGTCTGGCAGTGCTAGCTGGGTCCTGCAGTTCTCTGAATGTGCAGTAGGTGTCTATCTTAGCCTTTCCTTCATCCTTCTTCCTCTTCTAGTCTCTGACACTGTGATATAGTGCATAATTCCAAAATGGCAGCTTTTTGAAAATTCACCTTGATTATCAGACATTAAAAGTGACTCATCCCGCAGTGACTGTCTGGCAGAAGGGATGGGATCAGACAGCAAGACAATGAGGGGACTGGGCGCATTAGCGCACTAGATTACAGAGCCCATCAAAAATACCTTTGTTCTGTCAAAGATCCAATCATTTACTACTTGTGTTCTGCAGAGGAGAAAGAATGAGAAGGAAAAAAATTCACCAAGCAAGCAAGCAAACAAACAAACAAACAAAAATCCTTCCCAAGAATTTAGATCTCTTTATTCTAAGAAGGGAGGGAAGTGTCTGATCAGCCATCTCAAGAGGAGGAACGTATTTTTAGAAGGAGAATCTACAGAACCCTTTATCAAATTTTCAACACTACAGTCTGTTCTCTGGATCTCAGTAAGAGGGATACTGGAAAGTTAACAAACAGGGTTTTTAGTGTTGCTTATGGCTGCACTCCACCTGATTAATAGCAGAATATTTAGAAGACAAAACATCTCACAATGAGAACATTTATTTTCACTAAAAGCAAAGCTTCTGATTTCTATCATGTCCCACTATCTGCTAATCAAGGAATGTGTGACATGTGAAAGGGAAAGTATGTGTAAGGGTCACCACTGATAATACCTTATATGCACCTACACTGGATCACAAAAAAGGCAGTAGTAATCTTTGAAAAGATTTGAGCATGTGACTTATTGCATTGAGCATGTGTGTGTGCGTGTGCTGGTGTGCAAAGGGGAGGAGGGAATCGGAGAAAGTGGGAGGTAAGAGATGAAGGCATTCATACGGAGCCCGTGTGCGTGTGTAACTCGGTAAGACGTGTGCTAAGTCTTCAGCACCAGAGCAAGCCTGGCTAGCTTCTCTGATTCTCCAAGGAGACAAAATATCCCAATGGGAGACTGCTGCCTGGCTTTCTGCCTCCCCCCCCTTTTTAAATCACCTTCATCATTTGCCTATGAACTCAGAGGAACAGTTTATCAGTCATGGAAAATGCCCCAAAGGGGCTCAGATCAAAGGCAGCCTTTGAATTGTATACTTAGGTGGATCTCTCTGCCAAATACATGAATGTGATTAAAACACAAATTCCATAAACAATTATTTTCCATCTGCTTAGCAGTAGTAATAATGATGTTATGTGCCATCCATGGCAGCCTTCTTTTGACAAAGATTTACATGGATTCAAATGCTGCTCTGCACTTGAATGCTGCAGCATTTACCACCAACCTGGTAGAGGGTGGCTGCTGTCCCCATGCCAGATCTCCTAATAAGAATGGTTGTATCAGAATGACTGACTGTGGTTTAGCAAATAGAGTCATTAAAACAACTCATTGCGTTCTAACAATTATGCAATATACTTGGAGGTTTGTCATTTCTCTCCACTGCCTCTAGATTTATTTCCACTGACAGGTACAGAAAACACATTGCTCTTTTTGCCCCTTTCAGTTACCTCTAAATGACTTCATTCTTTTATTGAGGGGGAAAGGCAGGCTGACCAGCAGTCTGCTGGTCAGCGGGACTCATTCCAGTTACACATTTAGAGACCCACTCATATTTGCTGGGATTCCCAATACATACACTGAGGTGGGAAAGAAAGAAAGCTCTAGGCTTTTAAAAATCTCTGTCTAAACCTGACTAGGAGATTAAAGGGGAGAGCAAGAGGGGAGAGCCCAGGCCAATTCCACACACCAGCACTCATAACAGGGATGGAGGGATTCGTGAATGAGGGGCCAGTGTGAGCGTTTTCATCAGTGGAATTTTAATGAGCCCTAAAGGTTAGCCTTCGACTTCGTTAACAAACAGCTCCAGAGATAATTTCCAATTTTCAGTGTTTATAGAATAGTGGTTCCTTGGTCATAATCAAATTCTGAGACTGTTGAGAGCCTATTCTGTATGTCCAGCTCATGCTGAAACACAAACCATCAGAAATTATTAAATGTGTGCTCAAAATCAAATGTGGAAGAAATAAAAAGGGAAGAAATTTTGCAAATTAAAATGATCACATTAACCTCCTCTGATGAAATCAGTTTAGTCAAATGAAAAAAAAATGCTTATTAAAAGAACAACCTGCACAGAGATTTTAGCTGTTAAAAGGGTAATGATTATCCTAATATTTGAGTGGACAGAGGCAATGAAAAAAAGAGAGATAACAAACAAAAGAGGAAAGCTTCATTCCCAGGAGTGAGAGCAGAGTCCCTGCTACATGTAAATGAGTTTCAAAATGTAGGGGGAAAATGTAGAAGGAAAATTTACCAAGATTAACACAATCGCATCAGAGAATAGGCCAGTTTGCCGGAACATGTCCCCATCCACTGCCTCCTCCTTTCCTCTTCCTGCTCCCATCTGTCTTTACTGAGTCCTCGTGGAATTGCCATAATTGCACCATAAAGGGGGGAGGGGAGGATGCCTAAGATTCCAGCAATATAAAACAAAAGCAAAGGGTAGTTAGCAAAGAACCATATTCACAGATTAGGCTTTTCCCCAAACCAATGGCAACTTTGGGTAGAAAGGGCAGAAAGGAAGATGAATCTCCTAATGCCACCAGGACCAGCAGTGCGGGCTGGAGCTGCACCGGACGGAGGGACAGTCTTCAGTTTATTTAATGTTATGCTCAGTTTTGTTTCTTCCAGTGCAACAGATCCCCTTTTGCTCCCAGGCTTGCCACCACCCTTCTTGGTTTGCAGAAGGATAGAAAGGGTTAAAACAAAAACAAAGAGCTGGCCTGTGGCTCAGGACTCAGAGAGGGTTCAGCTGACTCTGCAGTTTTTGGTCCGGCAGAGTCAGAACTGGGTTCCAATTCTGCTTTGTATTTTACTCCTTTCTCTCCACAGA